CAGCTCTTTACAGGCATCGGTCGTGTGGCCATACTCTCTATGATAACGGCAAAAGAACTCCGGTCGTCCTATGGGCACTCCATTTCTCCTTGGCAGGGGCCGAGGTCGGTTTAACATCCCCAAGTTACCTCTTTTCTCTAATACCGCGAACACTTGCCCCCTTGGTGTAGTTAGGGGCGTGTAACGATCGAACCGTTGGCCCGGTTTCCATCCTCTTTCATCTACCCGCTTGTTCTCTCGCCCTCCTTTCTTATCATCCGGCCGAGGCGGCCGTGGCTCTTGCTTCTTATCCCTCCTGTCTTGTATGAGGAAATCCGCTTGCGCCTCCTCCATGTTCATGTATTTGCCTCCCCTCTGCAACAATTCGTCATAACTCTGGGCCGGTCTCTTGGATAAGGAATCTCGAAAGGGTCCAGGTCGTAATCCCCGAGTTAATCCGTCGGCCTTTATCTCTTCCGTAGCACTTGGTACCTCAACGCATGCGCGGGTGTAACGGGCTATGTAGGCCCGCAACGTCTCTTCTTCCCTCTGTTGTACGTTTATCAGGGATAAGTATGTTTTCTCATGCTTCCTCGCGCTCGCGAACTGGTTAGTGAACAACGAGCTAAAGCTTCGAAAATCTTTGACAACCCCGGACGCCAGTTGGTGGAACCAATCCTGGGCCGCGCCCTTCAGCGTGGTGAGAAAGGCCCTGCAACATACCGGATCACTATACCTATGTAGCACCGCTATGTTCTCGAAGCTCCTGAGATGTCGAGCTGGGTCTGTAGAGCCATCATACGACATGGTGAGCTCCCGAAACCCTTGAGGCAAATCCGCGCCCAACACTTCGTCCGCGAACGGGTGACCTGCACGACAGGGGCCTCGACGTCCTTCGACCTTCTCTTGGAGTTCGCGCAACTGCTCCGCCATGCGCTCGATGATCGAGTCCCTTGCATGCTGTAGTGGAGCTCCTGACGAGTGGACCGATTGCTCCGGCTCATGCTCGCCCCCACCTCCGGTTGGCCTCACAGGTCGATCTACCTCCTCGTGCCCCAACACCTCGGGTCGAGTCGCCATTTCGCGCGCCAGGGTAGAGGGTCGAGCCTCTAAGCCCTGTGCTTCCGGTCTTGTCTTCATCAACCTTCCCGGAGGTAAAACCGACGCCAGTCTAGCCTCCACCGCCGCCGCTATCATTCTTTCCAACGCGCTGGGTGTGACTTGTATGGGCTGCTTCGGGATGGAAAGCTGAGTATTTGCGACGGCTTCCTCCGCCGCCCCTCCTTGGAGTTGCAGCTCCTCTCCGCCTACTTCTTGGGGTGGTAAGCTCGCACTCGGTCTCGTCGGCGTTTGCATCACGCCCACCTGTGTCGGGCTATTCGCCGCTATCTCTAACTGCTCCGGTGGCCGCCTAGCAGCAAGGGCTGGGGTCGCCGGCGTGCCTCCACCCAATATCCACCCCAAGGGCGGCCCAGCTCCTACAGGGCGCTTGTGCAACCAAAAGTTGTCTTCCTCATATTGTTCATGCTCTTTTTCTCCCACCATCTTCTTCAATCCTTGCCTCTCCACTTGTTTTCCGGTTGTGATGTATAAGATACCACCAGATCAACGTCGGTTGAGCTAGGGTCCCCACAGACGGCGCCAATTTGATATGGTCCGAGATCGGTGGCTCCGGTCTTACGGAAGGTTCTTCCCGGTTATGGCGTGATTCACTTGATTCGGTCCGGCCCAAGCTTGCGTGTTCTCCGGTACCTGAAAGCGCGCCGGAATTTCTCCGGCGCAAACCCTCCGACGCCCAAGTTAGGATCTCGGATTTTTAGAGAGAATTGTATGTAATAAATGTTGTAGTAATGATATTAATGGAGTCTTACCAACCATTATTGCGGTCTTTCCTTTATATAGTGCTCTCATCCGACTTATACGTTCTAGAATGTTCGTTGACCAGTCATAGCTTACTTGGTCTTATTGCTGTCCTTCAACCCGCGTTACACTCCGACTAGCGGGTCGAGTTATTCGACCCTCCCTCTCTTCGAGTCGAGCCCCTCGACCCCCTTGGGCCGATCAAGTCTCTCTGCTGGCCCTTAATCGACGTTCGACCCTCCCTACGCGTTCGACCCCTAGGTTTTGGTCGCATGGGTCGACCACTGGGCCGGTCGATCACGTAACCGCTCGACCCCGTAACCGGTCGAGCCTATAGTCGGTCGGTCTTTTGTCCTTGCCAACTTAGTATTATGGGTCTTTCCCAAATCGGACCGGGTGGGTACTATAATCCCTATCACTACTACTATTAATTCAATTTACGTAAATTATTTGACTCCATAAACAAGAAACTCAATTGAATCACCACTTTTACTACCCACCACCTCAACCGCAGTTCTTGCCATCCTCATTCCTACACATGTAGCACCCATAATACAAATAAATACTACCCATCTAGATAATTGCAAAGATATAACAAACAAATAAATAAATTCGAATAAATCCAAAAACAAAAAGCAAGCAAAGCAATTTTTTTTTTTTCCCTCATATATGCACATAGAGACTAGAAGTACCTATATAAATATACTACTCGTTACTTGAAATTGGACAGCCCACGAAAAAAATAAACAACTAAAACAAAAGCGTCCTTTGTTTTCCTTTTTATAATTGAAAATTGGATTGAAAATTGGAAAATCGTGTTAGGAGAATCAAAAGGGGATGGCACGAGAATCAAACGAGGCCCTTTTGAATCAACACAAAGAGAAGCACTTCACCGCTGGCGAAATCGTGCGGGACATTATCATCGGCGTCTCCGATGGCCTCACCGTTCCTTTCGCACTCGCGGCGGGCCTTTCCGGCGCCAACGCCTCCTCCGCCGTCATCCTTACCGCCGGCGTCGCCGAGGTTGCGGCCGGCGCCATCTCCATGGGCCTCGGAGGGTATACATAAATATATAATCTTTGTCATTTGAAGTGTAAAATTAATGGGGTTTGTATATATATATATGACGTCATCGTATTTGGTAATATGATTTTGAAGATACCTAGCGGCAAAGAGTGAAGCAGATCATTATATGAGGGAGCTGAAGAGAGAAGAGGAGGAGATTATTGATGTGCCTGATACAGGTCTAATTTATCCCTCCCATTACATTTTTTACTTCACATGTTTTTTTTTTTTTATTATTATTATTATTATTATTTTTATTTTTTAATTTATCATTTTTATATTGTTCGTAAATCTGTCTGTTAGGGTTTATGCAAACTCCACCTAATTTAATTTAATTGAATTCAATTTAATTTAATTCACTTCATCCTTGGGGCTTGGAGGGATAATTTTGTTTGAATTGGATCCTTGGGCCAAGCCCAGTGTATGTATATTATTATTAATACATCACAAAATTATAAATATCTTTTTGTAGACTAGGTAGAATCTCGTGCAATGCACACGGAGTTTCGTACCTTAGAACATTTTTTTCGAAATTTTATTTTAACAATATATTAGTTTGTTGACGCATTTATAATAATATAGATAATATTTTTAACATATACATTTATTTCTTAATACATAAAATAATAATTCTACAATTTTGGTTTTATCATAATACTCAAATATTATTGTATTTAAAAATTTATTTTCGTATAATGTTATTATTATTTATAACATATATAGAAGTAATATTATTATATATATAATGGTAACATTTAACGTATACAAATATTATTTATGGATTTAAATAATTTTCTAATAATTATAAGCAAATTTAATGTTTGTTAGGAATGTGATTATATTCAAGTTAAGATAAAATGGAATGTATCCAAGAAAATCTACTTATGATATTTTCCTTGAAATGTTTGAACGAATTTGAAATTCAAATTACAAATCAACCGCCACTTGAAAAAATATAATGTGTATGAGTGCAATATTTTAAACTTTATATTATATAATAATTTTTTTTATTATTTTAGCTATAATGTTTTAGTTTTTTTTTCAAGATATTAAAATGTACAATCTCTATGTAGTCTTTATTTAAATTGAGACACAAATTTTTAGAAATACACATAAATTTCTATTACTTTATAAAAAAATTATTGTTTTAATTGATATATTTTTATTTAGTTTGATAAATAAATTTAAATTTTATTTATAAGAATATATATCACTGTTTTGTATTTTATATACATTTCATATGGATGTCAAATCGGAGATAGTTAAAAGATAACAATTTGATATATCATATATGAAATATAATATACAAACAAAAAAATCTTTAATTTAATTATTTTTTTTAAAGAGAAGAAACATTTATAATAATAATTGATGTATGAAATAAATAAGAAAACGAAACGTAATGTATGGTAGTGTAGGAAAATGAAACGTAAAATAATTTATAGTAACTAAATATAGAAGAAAATGAAGAAGAGATCACTCATGGATTTATTGTGAATAATAAAGACATTAAATGAAATCCAAAACTAATTATTTTTGTATAAAAAATATTAATGTATATCCAAGCCTGACATGTTTTGTTTTTGCAACATAGGATTTCGAAGTTTGAAAATATGCCACTTAGGCTCAATGCATTCGAGAATTATTATTATTATTATTATTATTATTATTATTATTATTATTATTATTATTATTATTATTATTATTATTATTATTATTATTATTTGTACATGTAAATCCATTTTCCGTTGGGGCATTGTACTCTTATTTTCTAAATGTACAAATTTGAATCAGCCTACTGATTAGGATGTGTTGGCCGAAGTGTAGAGCTTGCGTTGTGTGTTCAATTGGCTTTTGTGGCGTATAGTTTATACGTCATGTCCAAGATTTATCTAATGTGTAGCTGAAAGATAGGTCCTATCTAAAAGAATACAACAAAAACTTAATTTTAGGATGTTCATTCAAGAAGCATAATTTTATGTTATTGGGAGTGACCAATTGCCCTAAAGCTTAAATAGACATTGCCCCTTTTTTTCTATTTTTATTATTATTTGAATCCATATGTATTACTTGCAGAAGCTGCTGAGGTAGCGGAAATTTTATCGCAATATGGGGTTGAGCCTCACGAGTACGCACCGGTTGTGAATGCCCTTAGGAAGAATCCAAAGGCATGGGTCGATTTCATGATGAAGTAAGCTCTTTTTATGTACCAACTCTTGTGATTTTTTTCTGTTTCTGAATTACATAATACAATCGTACGTTGCTACTTCATTTCAGGATGTTGAGTACAAATGCGCACTCTTAAAAAGTAAAAGCCTACTCGAAGTAGATTATGAGGCGTTGTTGCAATTCTTTTTGTATACACGAAAAGGCTGCTGTTGCAATTCTTTTTGCATAGACTAGGTTTTTGTCCGATGTGGACAAACGTATGACTTCGAAGCAAGTCTTTGATTTAATTTTTGTAGATTGAAACCAACTCCATAGTTTGAACAGAAAAAGGAATAGTAACTTATTCTAAACAACTTGAATTGAATTGCAGGTTTGAGCTGGGATTGGAGAGGCCGGACCCAAGGCGAGCACTGGAAAGCGCGTTGACGATTGCAATAGCTTACATAGTGGGTGGATTAGTGCCTCTCCTTCCTTACATGTTCATCTCAAATGCAACCCAAGCTGTCCTTGCCTCTGTTGTCCTAACCCTTATTGCATTGCTCATTTTCGGTTACGCCAAAGGTTACTTTACCGGTAACAAGCCCTTCACGAGTGCTCTGCAGACGGCGTTTATTGGAGCTATTGCATCTGCTGCTGCATTCGGCATGGCAAAGCTCGTCCAAGGATGATTCTTCTTCTTTGCCTTTTCTTTGTTTCTTTCTTTCTTTCAAGTCTTTTATATCATTTGTGAACTCTGCCCTGTCTTTAGCTTTTTCTTGGACCTCAGCTTTTCGCTTAAACATTTTGGATGTTGTTGCGTAGGCCTATCGATAATATTTGCTATCTCGAGTTATTTGGACTTGAAAAAATTACATGCCAAGAAATATGATAATGTGCAACCACCGTAAAAAAAGTTGCGTTAACCACCGTAACTTGCTATATGGTTCTTTTTATGTTTTATTGATATCATCTTTCACAACTTTTTTGCAATGAGCATCCATCTATTCAAAATTCAAACAGTCAGTTGTCAAAACTAGGCTAAATTTTTCTTTTTCAGATTGATCCTCCATCAGTCAATTGTACGAACCTATTTCATCATCTAAAATCAGAAACACACGAGGAGAACTTGCGGATAGTGTAAATAGAATTGTGAATTCGTATAGCAGTATATATCTACATTTGTTTGTGGAAACAAAACTGGAAAAAGGGGGAAAAAGAAACTATGGCCAAAGTGGAAAACCTTACAGGCTACGTGAATGCATATATAAATCATGACAGCATCAGAAAAAAGTTTGCACGAATAGATGTTTTTGCGATGCGTGCTCTTGTTCACGTATACAACTAACGGCGTAAGAGGAAAAAACAGATTACCAGAAAATTTCTCATTGAAAGCCACGAAAAGAAGCCTAAATCCATATACCACCAAAAAGATGATCGCTCGACAAAAATCCTCAACTTCCCCTAATTTCAGAAGTCAAAACTTCCATTCGTTCAGCTAAAGCATCGACTGAGTCCCCTCTGACATCATCAAGCGCATCATTACCAGAATCTTCCGATTCATCAGATTCTATGGTCAGCCCAATCTGTTTCTGCCCGGAACTAGCAGCAGCAGCAGCTCCACCGTCCAACTCGGCAAGCCCCACATTTGCCATTGATGGGTAGGGAAGAAGAAGCTGCTCGAGCATATCATCGCTCTCGTCCCCACTCGGAACCACAAACACCTCGTGACTTTCTACGGGAACCGATCCTTCCTCAAGCAACACATCAATATCCATGAAAAGCTCCCTAATCTCGTCCACAGATAAATCTAACTCCATCAAACCATCCGACCCTGAAGCTTCCCCAGCTCTCGTGGGCCCCACCTGCCCGTATCTCACGATCGCCCCACCACAATCGTCCGTGACCTCACTCAATTTGGTGTTTCCGTTTTCAGACACGCGCCACGTGTTCTCCTTGGGCTGGAAAAACTGGAGCATGAATTCAGGGTTCTGCATGGCCATGACGATAAAAGAAAGCATTTGTTGCTGGTTTTTCTCCATGCCCTTCAGCTGCTCCCTCAAGACCACCATCTTGCTTTTCGAGGTCTGCTGCTGCTGACTCAGCTTCTTCAACTCCTGGGTGAGGGCGATCTTGTCCATCTTCAGAGTCTCCACCTCCTTCCAGAGGGCAAGTCTCTTTTCATCCTCGGGCTCCTCATCTCTGTGCAGGACGGGTTTTTTCTCAGTTTGGTTCTGCGGGTGCTTTCGCCGGATGATGTTTTTGAGCAGGTGTTTCTGGTCTTTGCGGAAGGCCTCGTTTGCAAACTGCCACTGGTCCGTGTCGATTTTCCTGAAACCCTTTAAGATTCATTTAAGGGAAAATTTGATAAGTAGGTATATGCATCAAGTGCGAGTAAAAGAACAGAGAAGCCCATCATCACATATCCAAATAAATAACTATCCAGGAACCATGGTTTGCATAGACTAATCCTGATAAAATAACGGCTGAGTTTATATTTATAAGTATTGTGTCCAAGTATTTAACAAGATTCTAATATAAAAGAGAAATCATTAAATGCTATTAATTATTCCCAGTGTATTACTTGGTCCTGCTCTATCAATCGTGTAGAAGAACTACAGTTCGACAAATTTTCTAAGCAACATGCATGATGCACCCATACCTCTAAAAATTTAGAGGAGATATGCGTGGGGAAATAAGTAAGTTATTTTGCTCATAACTAAATTCAAGGTATGAGGAACATGTCAATGCAACAAATGAATATGCCAATGAATGGTTAAGCAAATAAAGATAACATATTGAATCAAAAGCCAATAATGATACATAAAATAACGATAGTATGTCCATATTGCACATCCTTGCATCACAATGCAATTATTTCAATTGAGATAACCACAAGACTTATTTCCTTGAATAAGAGAAGATTGCTGCCGAAATCAATATAAGAGTTAATAACTTTAGTCGCAAGAAGGTCCTCCATCACAAAACTGAAATGTGTCAAAACAATAAATAAGTAAAAGAATCAAGTAAATAAGTAGCATTTTCCCTTGCCTTAGTAATAAACAACCCCAACCTCATGCCACAACTGTACAACAGCATCGAACACCTATTTCCAAGTCCCAACTACATTAGATAACACTGTTTCTCTATCTCTTGAAACTTTCTCGTCCTTGTTTATCGGTAAAAAATACAGGAACTTGGCTGAAAATTTCTCTATTTCAGATTCAATGGAACGAATAGGCATCGATACCAGACACTTGAGTCTCACACTCGGCTCAAATTATTGACATTCAAATTCAAACCAGACAACTATTCGGCATCTACTACTTTGTCACCACACATAACTTCGTGAACACAATTACCCAATAGAAATATCTCACAAGCAAACTGAATCTGAAGAAACCGTTACCATTTTCTTGACAGAAAAGGAAAGAAAGCCATAACCACTAATGTAACACAGATCAAAAGCTAAAAAAAGAAAATTCTCCAAGAAAATCACATCTAACAATAGATAAGTAACAAGTGCATACAACCAGATAGACTACACCACATATACAGCAACCCAGAAAAGAATATATAAAAATCGAAAATCAAGTTGAAAACAAGAAGCTCACATAGATATTGAGCTGGCGGACAAAGCTGGAGAAATTGCTGTGCTTGAAATACTTGGGGAGCAATTGGGAAGAAAATCTCGATTCATCCCATATGATGAAGCTATCGCTCGACTCACTCCAGGAAATCAATCCATCGGTGGACTCATCACTGACCATCTCATAGCATTTAACTAAGAACGGCGGCAGGGAAACCCCATTATCCACAGACTTCACCATAACCTTTTCAATTCAAATCACGGAAAGGATCCTCACAATCGAATTCTGATAAAATTCAATGATTCTGAAAGAAAATTATCTCGGAGAGAAGGAAAACATACACAATTGATGAACAATTCGATGTCGCCGCTACCCAAAAAAACGTCGGAATTGAGATTTTCCGGTGAGTGAGAGGTAAAAGTGTTTCAGGATTTATAACAGGGATATGATAATTGATCACAAGCCAAAGAATATGTTCTGCTCAATTGCTTGGAAACGAAGATGAAGAACGAAGGGGTATATAAGGAAAGAGGGAAGAAAGTGTAGCAGAAGAACAACCCTTTGTTTCACGATTTTTACTTGAGCCGACTTTGCAGATATTCTTGACGAAAATATAAATACAGGGAAATATAAGTTTTTTTTTAATAAGTTTTATTTATTTACTATTTTTCGAGAGCAAACAAGTGTCGCTACGGAATCATTCTGTCAGAATTTGTAACCGTTTCCTCAAACTAAAATTTACTCAGAAAGTAATACAAGAATTCAAGGTGAAACAACACCTAACTAGGGACAACATTACCAGCCCCAGAGAGCAAAAAACAACATAAAATCACATTCGACTATTTTCGATAGCCATTTTGGCTAACTATTTATCTGAGCAAGTAATACTTTTTTTTTTGCCAGAACAATAGGAAATTTTATATTCTGATGTAGGGAATGCGTGAACGAGTGGGAAAAATACAATACGAATAAACGAGATACTCTCTCGTAGAACACGCAAAACGAGATACTCTCTTGATAAAGCTCACAATCAATTCATATTTTTATTCAAATCAACTCCCCTAATAACATAGCACAAGAACCCTTTAAATAAGACACTTGAACTAAACCCTAGCTTATTCTTCAAGCTACTAATTATCAAATAATAATAATAATAATAATAATAACAATAATAATAATAATAATAATATTATTATTAATTCTATCCTCATCAACTATCCTTATCATTCTCCCCCGGTTGAGCAGGATACGGCCTCGAATCCGACCCGTTTCCGTTGGAATCGTCCCCAATACTCCTGACATTTTTTTTTCGATCGAACACGAATGTTGAAGGTCTTCCAACAACCTCGAACATAAACAAAATCTCAGTCAAGGACGTAACTACTGCGAAGACACATGTACACGTCACCAAACGCAAAGCCGACACAACTGGATGAACACAAAATACACCACCTTGTTTGCCGCGCTCAAATCCATAACAACGGTCAAGCATCCTGTTGATGGGAGACTTCGCGAAAGGCAAACGGAAAATGGTCCACCAATTATTGGGCATCGGCTTCGGCTCCGAAAGACTATCTTTGGCCAAAATACTCAAAAAAACGGGTGTGAATGACGGCTTCCCATTCGAAGACTCAATCGTAGCGACGTCCCACGCGCGACCCATATTATTGCAAAAATATGTCTTCGTCATCGGAGGCTCCTCATAAAAAATGGGCGGACCGTCGTAAATTGACCCGTCAACGTGATCCTCGTCGAATTTGAGGATGTTTACGCAAAATGGGCCAACCCATCGACCAACCTTGTGACCAAATTCTCTCTGCACAGGCCTAATTTCTGCATCTCCTTCACATGCCCAAAAAAAGCATTTGGACTGCTCCTGCTGAGCCCCAAAATTGCCAACATCGTTGCCGTTCAGAGGTGGCGGGGATCGCTGCCGGGGCGCCCCGACATGGCTGCGTTCCCCACGTCCGCCTCTGTCTCCCCCGCGATTGCCACGGCCCACAGCCCCATCGCAGTTCGTCTGCAATTCCGAAACAATCATGTTGTTAAGCGTCAAACGCAAATCCCCGATCTCCGTCGAAAGATCGGCAAACCAATCCGTGAAACGCACGTCCAATTGTTCAAATCGGTAGTCGATCTGTTGAAACCGATCGTTGAAGGTTGCATCACGTTGTTTGTTTGCGGCATCTTCTCGTCCCGGCGACATCGCGAATCGTACTGACTGCTAATACCAACTGATGTAGGGAATGCGTGAACGAATGAGAAAAATACAATACGAGTAAACGAGATATGCTCTCATAAAACACGCAAAACAAGATACTCTCTCGATAAAACTCACAAGCAATTCATATTTTTATTCAAATCAATTCCCCTAATAACATAGCACAAGGACCCTTTAAATAAGACACTTGAACTAAACCCTAGCTTATTCTTCAAGCTACTAATTATTAAATAATATAATAATAATAATAATAATAATAATAATAATAATAATAATAATAATAATAATAATAATTTTATCCTCATCAACTATCCTCATCATATTCCCAACAAAGTCGAGACTAGTGATCAGCTACTCAACTGAATAAACAGTCAACGGCCGAATAAACTGAATAATTTACTCCAGTAGAGAAGATTACACGTACAACGTACAAATAGACGATAGCTTAAAGTCAACTTACAACACAAAACACAACAAACAACAACACACTCCTAAAAGGAGAATAAACGCACAAAAGCTCCCAACAAGAGAATACACAAAACACACTCCCCACGGGAGAGAAGAAGAGAAAACACAAACACAACGATACAACACAAACAAAATGCACTACATAACCTACACGCACACCAAAAAAGAAAAACAACCGAAAAAAAAAAGAAAAAAAGTCAAGCCCTTCCCACAACCGGTGAACACCAAGAGCTGCCAACGACAGCACTCATAGTCGATCGCCCCTGCGGAGAGGACCACGTCCTGAGAACCGCTCCAGAAACTGCAGAAAACCGCCTAACTGGAACCGCAACCCAAAGACCCGATCCCGCACCCCCGACAGTCAACCCCAGTCATGCAGCCGAAAAACCGAAAAACAACACCCCCTCCTTCCCCCCAAGCACCACCGCCCCAATCCGAGCACCCACCAAGGCTAAGATCAGAAAGCGTCGGCGAGACCCTTTACCCGCACACCAAGGGAAAAGAGAGATCGGGGAAGAATAACTCCGGTCCTTCGCTCCAACCGCCGCCACCACCATACGACTAGAGCCATGTAGCCCACCAGAACACTCTTCTGCCCACTGCCGCTGCACCAGGAGGACGAAAGCCCAGCATCCCCATACGACACTGAAAGGATGACGATAGAACGCCAGGGGGCCCTCTTCTTCCAGTAGAGCATAGATAGCCATCGAAGCAAAATTCTAGGGAAAGCCGCGCCACTTGGCGTCGGCCGCCGCCAGGAAGATTCAGTGCCTAATTGGGAAAGGCGCACGCAAAGAGATTCTGGCCGAGAAGGTCCAGATTGGAAGAGACGGGAAAGGGGATCTAATTTAAATCCCCCAAGCAAGTAATACAATCCCAATAAAAGTTACTGGTTTTAAACAAAGAAGAAAGGTAGATATTATCCTCAACCACTGCTATATGAAGAATCAATAAACCTTTGTTGGTGAGCTTGTCCACGATCAATTTTTTCTCCAGGCAAAAGCTGACGACATTCTAATTTAGCTTCAATGTCTCCTCCATAGCCCCACCTCAGTGCCATCATAAAAGCCTCCACTAAACTCCTAAGGAAGTCTGTAACACCCCACTTTATTTTTACAGAAATTCCGGACTTTTCTAAAAATCAGAACAAATTTTTCAAAATTCATTTTCGAAATCAGGGGCATTAACCAACACAATTTACTTAGTCCAAGTCTTATCTGGACTTACGGGGATTTATAAACCCGATTCTACACAAGGTTTTCATTAACCTGATTCACACTTTAACATAATATCCCATATGAACAAAATCAAACACTATGATTATTCAAGGTTCATAAAGAGTTTTCCAAAATATTTTCAGACATCCAAAAACATAGTTCGAAAACGATTTCACATGTCCAAATATTAATAAAAGTTCATGACGATCTTATTATTAAAGCGAGAGCATAAAGAAACACATAATGGACCACCACTCGTCCTTCGTCCCGTCATCCGGCCACTGCTTAACCTGCATCCGTGAAGAGCAGGTGGGAATGAGCACAAATGATAAAGTAGTGCTCACTACTATGCACATAATAACATGTAAAGATGGTATGGTCGCAGCATGAATATAAATCAATCATCATCATGTCTCATCTCCTAACAATCATAACAATAACTCACTCATGTGCACATCTATCATTAGCCGCGGAAAGGGGATGCATAAACCCTAACGACGGGAGTGCGTGCCACTGTAACGGACACGGCCTTTCATTAGGTCTTAAGGAGACTTGCCTCGCAAGGGCAACCGTACCGTAACTCGACGGGGACAACCGTACCGACGGCCGTAACAGCTCACATCAGTAGGCTACATGGTTCACATGCATACATTGATCATACCAACAAAACATTAAACAACACATATGGCATAGACGATTTTATAAGTAAACCCACCTGGATAGCTCGGTAGAAAATAGCGCACAATCACAAGTACGTAGGATGAGGGCTCGACTCCTCAAACACCTACATTTAAGCGAGATAATATATCAATAATCTATCTCACTACTAGAATTTAACGTAAAACCCATACTTAATAAAAATTAAGTCTTAAGGGTTTTAATCGGATTTTTCGTGGACTTGGAACTCTCTCATTTTTGAAAAATAAGGCTCGGAGGATAAAATTTGGAGTCTCGGGACTTAAAATAATTTTTCTAAATTTTTCATTTGAAAATAATTTTTTTTAATTTTGAAATCGGTACGAAAAACGGACTCCGGAACACAAAATAGGCTTAAAAAGCTATTTGGGCCGCGCTGGTAGAATCTGGCCCAGTTCTGCCCCACATTGGGCCTTGCACTAGGATATTGGGCCAGAAATATAAGCCTGCCAAAACTGGGTTGACACGGGCCTCGCTGGGCTGGGCTGCAGCGGGAGAAATCGGGCTTTGCGCGGGCTGAGTCTGCTGAGGAGGGCGGGCCGCTAGCGGGCTGAGAAGCCCGCGCCTGGGACACATATATATATAATAAAAAAAAAATGGCAAGTTCCCATGGGCTGAGATTCGAACCCCCGACCTCA